ACGAGATGGGAGTTCTAGTCCCAACTTAGCCATGAAAGCCAACTGGGTGACTTTCCCGGGTCAACCAGGAAATAGGCATGAAAGCCAACAGGCTGATTTTAGGCCAATCCCCAGGAGACAGGTAGTTCTAGACTCACTTCAGACATGAGACCGGCTGGGTGACTTTGGGACAATCACCAGGAGATGGGGAGTTCTAGTCCCGCCTTAGCCATGAAAGCCAACTGGGTGACTTTGGACAACTCGCGCTCTCTTTCTCAGCCTTAACCTACCTCACAGAGCTGTTGTTGTAGGGGGAAATAGGAGGAGAAAGATGTGTTTACAAATAAATAAATAAATATCTACTGTATAGATATGCACCCACACCCACAAAAACCTCTGAAAAAGAGCGAGGCCCTTCTGTTTCAAAGAATTCATTGACTGTTAACCAAAATGCCAACCTTTTAATGGTGCAACCCCTTTGACACAACTTCCCACACTGCGAAGCCAGAGAGTGCGCATCATTTATATAAGGGCACCAAAAACACCTGTAGGAACGTGTGTTGAGAACGATGAACCATAAACTGCTTAGAGCACAGAACGGTGGGAAGGATACAGGTAGTCCTTGACTTAAAAACAGTTCATTTCGTGACCGTTCAAAGTTACAACGGCATTCAAAAAAAGCAACTGAGGACCGTTTTTTACACTTACGACCGTTGCAGCATCCCCATGGTCGCATGATCAAAATTCAAGACGCTGGGCAACTGGTTCATATTTATGACGGTTGCAATGTCCCGGAGTCACATGATTGTTCTGACCTAAGGCTTCCCAAGATCATGAAGCAGACTCCTCGTCCCGATAAAACCCCTTTTATTTAGGTTAAAAAGAATTCCTCTCCAGCAAACAGTCTTTCATAAGATTTCATAACTACAGACCTTGGAGAGTTGCCAGGTCAATTATCTTCCAAACGCCACACTGTAGCAGCAATTACTTGGCAAGAAGTCAGAAACGGATCTTCACCCTAATTAAACGAAAGAACTGTCTCCTGAAAACACCACTCCCCTTTAGCTCCTCTTTATTCCCTACGGGAGGGGCCATTCACTGTCCACCTGAGCATTTACTCCTGACTTGACCCTTGTTCCTTAACTGTTCCCTTCTCCTGGCAGCTCTGTGCATGCGCACCTTGGGAACAGGCTCCACCTGCTCTTCTTCCCCACTGATCTCTGACTCTGAAGGCAGCTGATAACTGTTGGACGGCCCTGTCCCCATCTCTGCCTCCGATGCAGAGCCCTTGTCGGAGCCTTCCCCAGACTCCAGGACTGGCCCGTGGTCCTCCCCAACCTCCTCACTGTCCGAGTCTGCTGCCAGCTCCACTGGCCGCTGGCAGGCCACAACAATGATCCCCTTTTACGACCTTCAGACAAGCAAAATCCACAGGAGAGCCAGATTCACTTAATGGCTGTGTGATGAGAAAACATAAAGGAGAACCCCGGATTGAGTGAGAAATATCAGCCCCCAAATACATTTTAATGTCTTCTTTCTTGCAGCCCTGTCCCCCTACAGCCCCCCAAATTGCTTATTTGTCTATCAACTGGAACAAGCACAACTCGATTATCTTTCCGTAATAAAAGGAGCTGGGTATTCCTGGGAAGGAGGGTTGGCATCGCTGGCACTGCCCGGGTCTGGCACAGAAAGTATTTGATTGTTTTTAATTCCCATTCTGATTTTTAATTTTCAAATGCAGGAAGGAGGGGGTGGGGTGGGGGAGAAACCAGCAGAAAAGGCCATCAATCCTGCACCGAGGGGGCAGCTTACTGTCAGGCAGGGCCGACTCCGAGGCCTTTCGGCAACTTAATTAAATTGTTCTCATCTAACCCGCTGTCTTATCTCAATTGCGAAGGAAGATTTAAAAAAGAAGCTGAGATCTTCGGGCCTCGCTTGCTCTGGCCCTCCCTTCGCCAGCTCCCCTTGAATGGAGGGTACCAAGCAGCAGGGAGGGAGGGCACCCTGGGCTTCTACGCCTCCCCACCCATCTCAATTTGGAAACAAACTCCTTCACAAGGGGAGATGTCATGCCCTGTTGGAGTCTGACTCTGAGGGAGAAGAGGAATGTGGGAGTGGGAATGTGGTTCTGAAGGTTGTGAAGGAAACTGGGGAAGGGCACAGGCCGGTTAGGCAGTCAGAGGAAGACCCAGGCCCATCCCGTTTTCATCCTAGGGCACGCAGGGAGGAGCGGATCAGGGAGCAACGTGAATGGCGTGGTCTATGGGGGAGGAAAGGGCCCTGATCCCCTTCACGGGCTGCATCTGTGAGGACTGTTTAAATAGGACAAACTGCGCATGGCCCAGTGCTGGAAGCAAAGCGTGAAATAATTCTAGTCTGTCAGTTCTTATCTGAGTTCTGGCATCCTTCCCAGTGTGTGTATTCGATATCTGTGGACGTCTTCAAGCCCTTATCCTGCCTGGTCTCATTCATTGCTTCAGTGTGGTTTGTGTTTTTTTTTTTTCTGTTTATAATTTATATGTATTTTGAGTTTGAAGGGCATTTTTTCCTTTTTGCAACTGTTGGTGGGCTTCAACTCCCATAATTCCTGAGCTAACGTGACTGGAGGAGGAATTCTGGGAGTTGAAGTCCACAAATCTTAAAGCTGTCAAGTTTGAAGACCCCTGGTCTTAACAATTGAAGTGATTCAGGTAAGAACGGGGGCAAGAAAGGTGGTAAAATGGGGAAAATTCGCTTAACAGTTGTGTCACTTAGCAACGGACATTTTGGGCTCAGTTGGGATCATAAATTTAGGACTAC